AAAATAATGTTATTTTTAGCAACATCATATGACCCCTTTAAATATGCTGTATAAATAAATGAAGTTGAAGTTGTGAACAATGCTCTCTTATAATTGTGACATCACCGTTTAGTGATGTCATTGAATGTTCTGGGAAAACTTAAAGGGTTAGTTCACCCAAAAATGACAATTCTGTCATTAATTACTCACCCTCGTTTCAGTGCCTCCCTAGTTATTCTTCTTATTGACGTTTTAATCAGGCTTCTTGTGCGGTCGGGCAAATAAAATTCTCTCTCACTTGCCCATTAAAAAAATCAGCTTGTCCCGGACAAGCGTTAAAGGGTTAGTTCACCCCAAAATTAAAAGTCTGTCATTAATTACTCACCCTCATGTCGATTCAAACCCGTAAGACCTTCGTTCATCTTCGGAACACAAATTAAGATATTTTTGATAGAATCTGAGAACTGTCTGACCCTGCATAGACAGCAACTCAACTGAAATGTTCCCAAGTCCAGAAACGTAGCAAGGAGATCGGTAACATAATCCATGTGACATCAGTGGTTCATCCGCAATTATACAAAGCTACGAGAATACTTTTTGTGCGGGTAAACAAAACAAAACAAAAACACTTTATTCAACAATTCGTCTCCTCCGCATCACCCTGGTGCCATTTTGGAGAATATCCGCTGGACGTAAACAATGTATGCTATTCTGTGTCAGCTGCGTCACACGGATACGCTGTTTCCGTTCAGATCAAATCACAACAACGTAGGAAACAGATCCGGTGTGACGCAGCTAGCTGTCAAAAAAAGTCAAAATAGACAATATTTTTTTTGTGTGTTTCTTATACATCATTTGAATTAAACATTTTTATACAAGTTCATATGTAGTACATTACTGGAATTAAATTGGCTAAATGTTGAAACATATCTGACAGAACAAGAGAGGGAAAAATGCATAAAAAAGTTCATCAGTGTGTTGCGACTAAATTACATTTCATGAATATTTTAAAACAAGGTTGTGATTATTTTGTCAAGAAAAGTATGGACTAAATTATTTTAATTAATTAATTAATTTTAATTATCTAAATATTTTTACAGTAGCACTAGTGATATTTGTTTTTTTTTATGCAGAGAATATATATATATATATATTACATTTAAGACATTCCTTATAATTAATTTATTTCAGATTAACTTTATTACTGTACCAAAGTTTTATAAACTTTTGTCTTATTTCTTTGGTTTGTAAACCATATACTAAAGGATTTAGTCCTGGTGGTACTATATGAAACATTATACTAGCTAGTTTCCTGCTTTCAGAGTATTCAGGAAAACGATGGAGAAAAACCATGGTTGCACAGGAAACAAACATGATTATATAAACAGCTATGTGGGTGCTACAGGTTTTTATGGCTTTGCTGTTGAGTGCTTTGTTTTTGCTGGTTATGCATACACTAGCAATCTTAGTGTATGTTATAAATACAGACCCAAGTGAGAAAGTAAAAACAATAACAGTATAAATAATTCCAAACACATTATTAATGACCACACTTTCACAGGACAGTTTAAACAGTGAGGCATTATCACAGAAAGGGTTTTCAATTTTAGATCTGCAGCGAGACAGTCGTATAGTGAGACCTAACATAATAGACACTATGAATACTGACAGCCCCCAGGCTGATACTGATAGTTTTACTACCATTTTATTGGTCATTATGGCTGTGTATCGCAGTGGATTACATATAGCCACATATCTGTCAAAGGCCATGATCATCAGCACATAGTGGCTTGCGGCTGCAAATATGTGTACAAAATATGCTTGAGCAACACACTCCACATATGTCATGTAGCGCTCTGAGGCTTCCCTTAAAATGTCCTGTAGCAAGCGTGGCAACATGACAGTGGTTCCTAGTATATCGTTCAGTGGCAAATTGCAGAACAGAAAATGCATAGGATGATGCAGATTTTTATCTGTTGAGATCAGTATTATAAGTCCAATATTACATCCCATTGCAAATACATAAATCAATAGAAGCAAGATGAAAATGGGAAAAGAGGCCTGAGGTGTAACTTTCACTCCTTCCATGAGGAGAATGCTGTTTGTGAATGTCAGGTTGTCCATTAGTTGCTCTACAAAAAAACCTGTAAACAGAATCCAACAGACCCATCAACGTCATTAATAGCATAGATTAATTGTACATAATATGATATAAAAAAAAACGTATAATATGATAACAAAAAAATATGTAAAACATTGCTCTAAGCAGTAAAATCTAACTATAACATCACATTTGTTTACATTTTCTACGCTTGTTTTCCATTTAATGTCAGTAAAAGTGTAAGTAAGATTAATGTCTGTATTTTTTGTAAATTACACACATTATTTGTCTGTTTGTTTTTCAGTCTATATTAATTTGCACACAATTAAATAACAATCAATTATAATAACACAATCACTACATAGTAAATTAAACCAAAGAACCTGGACTCTGTTGTAGCTAAAGTAAAGTAATACCTTGAAGAAGTATTGTTGCGTTTTGTCAAGATGGTTGACAGATCGCTTCAAGTTGTCAAGTTAACTGATTAGCAGCCTATTCTATCAGTATTCAAGGATACATAAATTTAAAATTAGTTTTCTCTGAAGAAACTTTACATGCTTTTGCCTTTAAATATGTGGTTCAAAGAGGTTTCTGTGATGCTGTCTTAACCCAGGAGGGGAATGACATGGCAAAGTGGTTGCCATGAACACAGCCACTAATAATGGTATTGTCTTGTTGTTATGCTTTTAGCTCCAGTAAGCACACGTACGTCACCAAAGTGAATTTACATAAACCATATACATCTTAAAGACGATTACTAAATGTATATTTAATATTTGACAGGAAAATGTTCTAAAAGAATTGCAGATGAGCACATCATAACATGAACAGACATCTGAGTGAGTGATGTATACATGCTATTATGTAGAATTCACTGTTGTCAACACTGCTGTAGATGAATGTAAGTAATGTAAATAAACAAATCTACATAGAGTAACTAAACATAAGTTATCTATTTCATTTGTCCATTAGTAGGCCTACTGTTGATAAATTGTGGAGCACTTGTGTTAGATAAAAAGCGAGTTAACACAACATGTAAATGCAGTATTGAGCAGCTAAATCAGAGGTCACTTGGACGTTACAGGGACAGATGAGACACACGTGTGTTTATCCAGTGCAGAGTGACTGATGAAGGAATGCTGCCCTCAAAGGATTTCAGTGAGTATACTACAGAAATGAATAAAACATCTCTTAAATCTTAAGTTGTAGTTTATTTTAATTATTGTAATTTCAAACAGTTATCACAGTACTTTTCATTATGCTGTTAAAATGACTGCTTTGTATTGTATTTGTGCAGTTTTGTATGATCTGAAATGTCTGCAGACTGGTGTGAGCACTGAGGATAGAGAAGTCCACAGCAGCATCCTGGAAATGGTCCAGTGTCATGGATGAGTCACTCCATCACTCCATCTGCCCTTACTGCCTCATCTGGGCCGGATGTTGCTGTGGTCTCTTCATCTCAGTAACCCCAGAGCCAGTGAGAACATCTAGAGAAAAACCAAAAGACATTGAGGATGTGAGTTTGGTCAAGTTTGTCCTGCTGGTTTCTGTTCATACAACACCAGTCAATGGAGCCAGAGTTTCAGATGCTTCAAAAGCATCATCAAATAAAGTCATGAAGCTTCTGAAAGTCAGTCTCCCATCGACTGATATTGTATTGAACAGAAACCAGCAGGACAAACTTAACTAAAATAACCTTTTGTGTTCAGAAAAAAACAAAACAATGATTGAACAGTGTAGATTTATATTATAGTAGTACCTTGAAAAAATAAACTTTAAGAAATAAGCCGCTTTATTGAGCATTTGTGCCCAAGACACAAAAAAGGATTTACAAAAATCACATTTACATTTATCAGACACTCTTATACGAAGTGACTTACAGTGCTCTTATTACAGGGACCTCAATCCCCCTGGAGCAACCTGGAGTAAAGAGCCTTGCTGAAGGAAGAGTTTCAGATGCTTCAAAAGCATCATCAAATAAAGTCATGAAGCTTCTGAAAGTCAGTCTCCCATCGACTGATATTGTATTGAACAGAAACCAGCAGGACAAACTTAACTAAAATAACCTTTTGTGTTCAGAAAAAAACAAAACAATGATTGAACAGTGTAGATTTATATTATAGTAGTACCTTGAAAAAATAAACTTTAAGAAATAAGCCGCTTTATTGAGCATTTGTGCCCAAGACACAAAAAAGGATTTACAAAAATCACATTTACATTTATCAGACACTTTTATTCGAAGTGACTTACAGTGCTCTTATTACAGGGACCTCAATCCCCCTGGAGCAACCTGGAGTAAAGAGCCTTGCTGAAGGATACACCGGTGGAGATCGATCCAGCAACCTTCTGCTTACCAGTTCAGTGGTTTTGCCCACTACACCACAAAAGTAATGAAGCTATGACAAAAATTAGCATGTAATTGTAAACATATGAAATGAAATGCTGACAAAATTAATTGTAAAATGTTTTACTTGGTTTAAATGTTTTACAGATAGTCGTGCTCATGGAGAGCAGCACACAAATGTTTGGAACAGACACAGCAGCAGCCAGATTGTCCCGCACATGTTCTTCTGCTCTTGTTCAGGGTTGGGTGGTTCAGGGGCGTCATCATGGTATTCCTCATCCTCTCTGTGCACTCAGGCAACGATAGCATTGATGTCCCTTTCTCATCCATGATCAGATTCAGTCTGACTGCAGCAATGAGGGATGTGATGGACGGCAGAGACAGGTGAAGGTGGATACGGTGGTCAGCTGCTTCATCAGAATAAAGCTGCAGAACTGTCTCAGCTGTGTTGAGATGGCAGTAGGATGTGGATTCACCATCTGTAAATACATGTTTGTTAGAACAGTATGTTTGAATAAAGCTTTGTTTCATGTGTCAGTGACTTGTATTTACTTATTGGTTACTTTTATTTATTCTTTTACTCATTTATTCATGTTTCCTGTTTTCAGTAAATAAAATATAATTGTTTCATTAACTTGTGCATTAATTCATTACTTGACTGAAAATTGAGATGTATTCACCTTGGCTGCGTTTGTCTAGTGTGTAGTCATGCATAGCTATGGCATATGACAAAACAAATTACATTCAGGTAATTATTGGCTAAAAATTAATTAATCTTAATTTTTAAGTAGTAATACTTACATTTTTCGAGTGTAAAATTAACAGTCTTCTCCAAAGGCGAGATCTTTTAGCAGCTGATCGACATCTCCTTTGTGGAGATATTACAAATATTGCAAACGCTGAGGGAAACCGTACTAGGTAGGGTTGTGGAGTTACTGATGCTATGAGGTGTTAGTGCACCTGTCCCTCTT